ACAGGATGGGCTGGCACCAGCTTCCTAAAGGATATGGATATTTCTTCCTATGATATCGAAGTGGTGTCTCCGCGTAACTACTTTGCATTTACTCCTTTGTTACCTAGTGTCACTTGTGGAACTGTTGAGGCACGAAGCGTTGTAGAACCAGTCAGGAACATAATAAAGAAGGTAAGATGAGTTCTTGTTACAACTCGTTTCGGGTGTGCATAACTTACTCACATCGAATGTTTGCAATAAGCAAATAAATACATAACATGTATCTTAAACATATAGTTTCATCAGTTAATCTTGGTTAATAATAATCTAGCGTTGTCTAGTTTCCCTATCATTATTAGTATTACTCTCCTAATAACCCTTTTTTAATTATTATTATTACCCGTTGTCTACTTTGTTTCAGGTATCATATTACTTCTTGTTGATACTGTTCTTGTCTCCACTATTTTGGGCAATGTGACATTCATTACTGTATTTCCTTTTCAAACCTGTTTTTTGTTATGGTTTACTTGAGCCGAGGTCTATCGGAAACAATCTCTCTACCTTCACAAGGTAGGGGTAAGGTCTGCGTACATACCACCCTCTCAAGACTACACTTGTGGGATTACACTGGGTATGTTGTTGTTGTTGTTGTTGCAAATCAATTTATCGCTTAATTATGGTAAATCAATGTAGTTTGGTGTAAATACGAGTATATAACTGGACCATCCAGTTTTCTTCTCACGCGATTTCTAATCGTGTTGCTCTTGATTGATTTTTTTTTGGTACATGTTGCTCTTGATTGATACCTATGTATTTTTCTGAATTCTTGTTTATTTCCTACAGAGAAATGGAGAAATTCAATTTTGGGAAGCAGAATGTCTCAAGATTGATCCTGAAAACCATCAAGTCATTTGCCGTTCTACTGTCGAAAATTTGGTTGGCGAGAACGATTTTTCGCTAGAATATGACCATTTGGTTGTAGCAGTAGGAGCTCAAGTGAACACTTTTAACACTCCCGGTGTTGTGGAACATTGTCACTTTCTGAAGGTTAACTTCTCTGTCTCTATCTATGCTCTTTTGTGATTAATTCAGATAGCGGATTCATTACACATTTTCTCTACACTATGCAACTACATGTATTTTTAGACCTCATAAATAAAATAGTTTTTGATTCATTAGTCAGATTGATGGTTTCTTTTATTGATGAGTGATTTTGTGTGTGAAATGGCAAAAACAGAATTTTTGATTTCTCAAAAGAGTGAATCATGTGTTATACAGGAGGTTGAAGACGCTCAGAAGATACGGAGGACTGTAATAGATTGTTTTGAAAAAGCTGTTCTCCCGGGCTTAAGTGATGAAGAGCGAAAGACCAATCTCCATTTCGTTATAGTTGGAGGGGGTCCAACCGGAGTGGAATTTGCAGCTGAGCTACATGACTTTGTTCATGAAGATTTGGTAAAACTATACCCTTCAGTTAAGGATCTAGTGAAGATAACCGTCATTCAATCTGGAGATCATATCCTGAACACGTAATAATTCACGAACTTACGTGTCACCTTAAAAAAATGAGATTCCAATATTGGACAACTTATTAGAGATCATAATGTATTGGCTATGTGCAGGTTTGACGAAAGAATTAGCTGTTTTGCTGAAACTAAGTTTCAAAGAGATGGAATTGAGGTTTTGACAGGTTGCCGTGTTGTTAGGGTTTCTGAACATTCAGTTAACATGAAAGTAAAATCTACAGGAGAATATGTCGTTGTACCACATGGGATGGTTGTGTGGTCTACTGGAGTCGGTACTCGCCCATTTGTGAGGGATTTCATGGAAGAAATTGGCCAGGTATGTTGGCACTATGATCCCCCTTTGTGTTTGTCTATTGTGTTATTAATCACCAATAATGCCCCTGATGAGTTGTGGCTGCCTCGTGTGGGCTCTGTGTGTTCAACTGAACTCATTGCTTTCGACTTGAACTATACATACATATGCGCCACAAATTAGGAACATCTAATAAGGACAAACTCATTCGTCTCTGGTGGTAGTCCTTTCCTTTTTGCTATATTCAGTTATCATGACCATGTGATTTTTTATTTGGCAGGGGAAGAGATGGATCCTAGCAACTGATGAATGGTTACGAGTAAAGGATTGTCCCGATGTGTATGCTATTGGTGATTGTACCACTGTCGATCAACGTAAAATTATGGTATGCAAGCCTTTGGCCAAGTATGCTACATTACAGGATATCTATTCCCAACTCTGTTTATTCTTCTTTTTATGATAAATAACTTTCATGAATAAGAAAAATACAGTCCTAAATTTCAATGTAGTTTAGTCCCCCAACAAATTGTAATCAGTGAAGTACACCGCCAGCATGCACTAGATTCAAAATATTGACACACTTTCATATTTTTCACCTTCAATTTGCATTTTCGTGTGTCGCTTCAGGAAGATATTTCAACCATTTTTGAAGCTGCAGATACGGATCGTTCTGGAACCTTAACTATCGAAGAATTCCAAGATGTTCTGGAAGACATAATCATCCGATATCCTCAAGTGGAGTTGTACCTGAAGAGCAACCATTTGTTTCAAGTAACGGAGTTATTCAAGGATTCAGAAGGAAATGAGAGAGAGGAGGTAGATATTGAAGGATTTAAGCTAGCCCTTTCTCATGTCGATTCCCAAATGAAGAGTCTACCTGCTACTGCTCAGGTATATATTCCCTTGTGATTGTATTCATTGATGATATCTTAGTGTACGTAATCCCATGGTCAAAGGGATCGCACACGACCTTTTGTTTTACTTCATTTTTTTATATCAGTTTCTTTTCTTTTCACATTGGTAGGTTGCTGCTCAACAAGGTTCATATCTTGCTGGCTGCTTTAACCGTTGGGAACAGTGCAACGCTAACCCTGAAGGTCCTCGCCTATTTGGAAGTGCCGGGCGTCATGCATTTCGACCCTTCACGTATGGCTTCCTCTTCTAGAGTGAATTATTTTCTTATTTTACTGTTGCATGTATGAGAATACATGAAAAACTTGATTGTGCTATTTGTTTCTACATTTCCTCAGTCACACAGAATGTTATATATGTATGATGGTGTCATCTGTTTCTGCTTCCCCAAATGAAAGTACATCTCGTCCTCCGTTATACACACTCGATAGCTAACTATAGTAAATTTGAGATTTCAGATTTTCTGTATGGGTGGAGCTAGGGGAGCACAAGGGGGTTCATTTGAATCCTCTTTGCTGGAAATTAACTGTGTATATACAGTCAATGTTTTAAAGAAGTATGTATAGTAGACGTTGAATTTCCTTACTTCTCCATGTATTTACTTCCTTATATTTATCACATATGTAGACCATAAGTTTCATGAGAAGTTTTTAAAGCCACACAAATGTTATGATATGTTTAAGACATAGGTTTCAAGATATTGTTCGTGCAATGATTCTCTGCATTTGCTTAAAATTTTAGATCCGTCTCTGCTTCATTCTTGAATGTTGTGATGCAGGTATCGGCATTTAGGGCAATTTGCACCATTAGGTGGGAGCAAAGCAGCAGCAGAGCTTCCTGGAGACTGGGTATCAATGGGTCGTAGCACACAATGGCTTTGGTATTCTGTATATGCAAGGTGATTAATTAAATGTATTAATTCATCAATAATCACATAATTATGTATGTTTTTTTTTAAGAAGATTTAGTCTAATTAATATATAATATTTATCATTATTTCAGCAAGCAAGTTAGCTGGCGTACAAGGATCTTAGTTGTATGGGATTGGACAAGAAGATACATTTTTGGAAGAGATTCAAGTCGAATATGATGCTTTAAATTTTGATTTTTGACATTGTCTCTTTGCTACGTTTTGGATACCAAATGCAATAATTTTCTATTTGTATAAACTTTTAATGTACATCGAATAGTAATTAATAATTGCGAAAATGTTCAAATTTGTCTTTGAACTATGTAGAATGATTTATTTTTATCCTCCGTTTATAGTTGAGGTAAAAAAAATCGTATTTAGATTTAAGTTAGGTAATTAATATTTAAAGAGTTTGATTGCTCGGATAGTCACTCTAACTTTTTAAAATATTGCCATTATATTTATTTATTTTTATGAGCAAAGGACGCTAAATGAAGGAGAAGTCCATGAAAATTTAAGTACATGGAACTAAATAAACTAATAACAAATACAGAAATAAAGGTACGTAGTTACCACTTACCATTTACTTCTCAAATTTTACATAAAAAACATTCATTTAGTGCTAATCAAACAACATTCAAACATAGGAAATATTGCAAACCAATGAATGAAATGTGAAGACGATAGAGAACAAAAATACGAGTGCTTAGGCATTATTTTTTTTAGAATAAAAAGGGATGGGGTGAGTCAGGTATTGAGTTGATTTTGGGTTGGTTTCAAATTGATTCAGTTTCTAAATAGTGTGGTCACTGCATCATTCTAACTATCACCAGCATCATTACGAGTCACTAGCATCAATCATCACCAGTCAATTACACTTACTATAAACTATAGTCATTTTCAATATACTTCTCAAAACATTTAATTTATTATATTATATAGTAAAATTATTCTATTTATTGTTCATTAAAGAATGTGTCAAGTCGATTTTGAACAGGTAAAAATAGTCGGAGAAAGTAAAAATAATAAAATTAGGTGATAAGCGTTTTTCCTTTCCTTTGCACCCCGCTTGGGACCACAATTTTCCAAAAGTCTATTGCATTGCTTTGTATTACAAAGGGAAAATTTTCTTTATAATATTAGTACATTACAAGGATCACTAACACAAAAGGTGTGTACCAACTTTCTGCATGTACCAAAGTTGTTAAATCACACAACATTGGTAAGAACTCAAACTTTCTGCATGTACCAAAGTTGTTGAATCACACAAAACTATCCCAATAAGACCAGAAAAAGTAATATTACACCTACAAAATGAAACTGTCCACATGACTCAATGCACTCCAATTTCTTTTTATTACTTGTTGTCTCTAGCTAGTTATCAAAGGAAAGAAAAAGATCTATCAACTTACCAAAATGATGAAATTGTTTGTTGTAGCATTCTTATTGTTACTACAACTTCATCAAACCGCAACCAAACATGATCACCAGACCAAAAATAATGGTCTAATGATAAAAATGATTCACCGTGACTCAAGGAAATCTCCGTTCTACGACCCAAAACTTACACTGGAAGATCGTGTGAAAAGAATGAATATGAGATCAGAAGCTCGCATTTCACAACTTTTGATTGACAATAATCTAGAAAAAAATGTTGATGCATTTCAAATTATCCCATTCGATGGGTACGAGTTTCTTGTTCCATTAAAGATTGGCACACCTCCTGTGCCACAAATTCTTGTCATGGACATTGGTAGTTTATTACTTTGGGTTCATTGTGGCTACACCGAGGGTGGTGAACGCTCACCATATCCACTATACGTCTATTCACATTCTTCATCATATATAGAAGATGTGTTTTGTGAAACACCTATGTGTGAGTTGATAATGCTTAAAGGAAAATGTGGACGTGACTCGAAGAGATGTGAGTATACATATAGATATGTAACAGGTATGACTCGGGGAAATCTTGCTTCTGAAGTTTTTACATTTCAGTCACCAAATGGAACTGATGTGACTATGAACAAGCGTCTTATGTTTGGATGTTCCTCAATACGTTCTAAAGGTGCAGATCGTGTTAGTGGAGTTCTTGGACTTGGCAAACGAGCTATTTCTTTGATTTCTCAACTGGATTTTCCTATTGTATCGGTAATATAAATGATGAAGACTATGATTCAAACACATTGGTTTTAGGAGGAGAGCCTATAATTATGGAAGACTCCACTCCCATGTTTATGGTTATAGGCAAATACTATATAACCTTAGAAAAAATCAGTGTGGGAGACAAGTTTCTTGACATCAATTCAAGCATATTCAAAAGGGTCAATTACGAAGGTGGAATGCTTGTTGATAGCGGAACCACTTCAACTTATTTGCCTGATATTGCATTCAATAAATTGAAGGAGGAAATAAGATTTGTGATTGGTACAACATTAAAAGAGCATATAAGCTCAAGACAAGGTGAGCTTTGTTACCGTGGAACTGTCAATCAAGATCTTAAATTTTTTCCGACCATAGCATTTCATTTTGTTGAAAATGCTATATTGAAGTTTGATCCTCAAAATTTATTTCGACAAGATGAAACTGACTATTTCTGCTTGTCTGTACAAAGTACGGATAGTGACTGGCTCTCTCAGAAACTCCCTTTTAGCATATTAGGTGTTTGGGCACAACAATTTTATTATATCGCCTTTGATATTAATATGATGAGGATGTCCTTCACTAAGATAGATTGTGACATCCTGTATGATTGATCAATGCTAATTCAATGATAATAATCTTTCAATTTTACATTATGTACTGTTATAAAAATCTCAGACTGTGTTCATTTGGTATTTTGAGCATATCGGGAGTTCTAGAGATCGGAATGGAGTGATTCTTACGGGTTTATTCTTGAATTAATATGAGGGTTAGTATTCAATCTTCAATTCGACATTTTCTCATAATTTCTTTATCTGGTTTTTTTTTCCTATCCGTAAATCTCTTGGAAAAAATTGGGGTTTTATCGATTTGGACTCCCTTTTTGATGAAAAAGGTATATTTACGATCCTTATGTTATGGGTAAACTGATTTTAACATAAAATTATTGATTCATCGATTATTTTCATCATATTAACCACGTACAATTTGGACTTTTCCGGTAAAGTTTGATAAATTGAGAATTTCAAGGTCGATCTTAACTCCGTTTTTGATGAAATTTCATATTTGAACTTATCTAAGCATGAGTAAGATGTTTTTCAAGAGATATTTCATTTTCGAGTCGGGGTTTCGGATCCGAATATTTTAAGCTTCTTCAAGAACGAGGATTTTCCTTCAAATTGAGTTTGTGAATTGATTTCAACTCCGTTTTCAAATTGGTTTTCACCATTAGCTTCCAAATACTTTAAGGATCATTTTACATCAAAAATTTCTAGATTTGGGTACCGTTTTCCGGTATGAGACTTTTGGACCGTTTTGTCCTTTTTTCCTAAATTTCTTGATTTTGGTGTCATTGGACTCGAATTGTGATTGTGAATAATTGTTTGAATAGATTATCGTGATCCGGATTATACTCGGAAAGGAAAGGCTCAAGTCAAGTAACTTTTGGAGTTCGTTTTAAGGCAAGTGGCTTCCAAACTTTGTAAAACTCTTAGACTACGCATGACTACTTTCCTAATTGTGTTGGGGAGTAATGGGGATTGAGGATGGGTTTTATTTGTTGATTGAAATTGTTGTAAATGAAAGATGGGGAATAAAACGAGCTAAATGTGTTATATGTGACTTGAATTTGTTGAATAAGTCATGTGATAACTGATATTAAGGGGATAAAAGAGCATGAGTAGGCTATGATTGATACAGACATTGATGTTGAGACAAATGATGTGTAATACTATGATGTGGTCGTGATATGGTTGTGATTGAGACAGATGATGTGTAATACTATGATGTGATCGTGATATGATTGTGATTGATGACATGTGCATATTCATTATTCATCCCATGTGTGAACTATCTGTTGCATGAGTTCTGAGACACTGATAAGAGGATGGATGGATATGAGACACAGTTGAGACTAGCTCCGGCTAGAGATATATGAGATGGACTAGCTCCGGCTAGCAATTTGGATGCCGATGGGATCTGGTTCCGGCGGTGATACATGGTCCATGTGTGGCCCCCATGGGTTCTGATTTGAGTATTCAGCGCGGACTGATTACGTCAACAGATGTGTATCGTAGGACAGACATGCATCACGACTACATGACATCATTATTGCATTTTGCATCGCATTTGCCTTATCTTTGTCTGTGATGTGTGGATTGTATCGGTTTACCCTTCTTATGTGAAATTTGATCTACTTGCTCTTATTTGTTGATCTGAGGTTGATGAGGATATACTGTTGGTTCTGGCTGTTGAATATGATCTGTTTAGTATAGGTTGGTTGGTTTGCTGCTAGATTGAAGTTTCGGTGGTTCGGTTGGGATTGAAAGGAGTTGTTTGTAGCTGCTAGTTTAGCTTAGTGTTACTTGCGAGTACCTGTTGCTTTTGGTACTCACCCTTGCTTCTACACAGTTGTGTAGGTTGACAGCTCTATCAGATCCGGCTTATTACTCATCTTCAGATTAGAGCTTCCAGACTTACTTGAGAGGTAGCGGTTCATTCCAGACGTGCCCTTGAGTTATCTTTACTTTCAGTTTTGTTCGATTCGAGAACTATACTCTGAGACTTGTATATTTTTATTCGAATTCTCTATTTAGAGGTTTGTACATGTGACAACCAAATTCTGGGTAGTGTTGAGTCTTAATTAAAGTCTTCCGCTTATATATTATCTTTTATTCTCGTATTTCTACTTCTCTATCGTTGTGGTTGGGTTAGGCTGACGTGTCCGGTGGGAAATGGACATGTGCCATCACATCCGGATTTGGGGTGTGACAAAACACTTAATTGAGTTTGACATTCATGTAACTTTGATCTGATCTTACAGATCTATGAAAGTGTAACTAGAGCAGAAAGAAGACTATATTCATTATGAATAATATGAACAGAAATACAATGTATTTATACAAGATGATCACTCATTCTAATTGTCATGAATGATAACTAACTCACTGCACTTTTAACTAACTTCTTATGAGTGCTAATCACCTAGCTGTCAGGCCCACAGTAACTAACTGAACTAACCATATTATTGAATTCAATACTCCCCCTCAAGCTGGAGTTTGTGTATACATCAAATACTCCAACGTTTAGTCCTAACTAAAAGAACGATGTTGTGCAGCTCCCAACGCCTTTCCGTTCAGCAGGTCGTGCTAGTTGCTCTTTAGTGTTGACATACTCTGTCTATATCAATCCATCTTTGACTTTCTCCCTCACAAAATGACAGTCAATCTCAATATGCTTTGTCCTCTCATGGAATATAGGATTAGCACTGATTTGTATTGCTGCTTTACTGTCGCAATGTAGCCTAACAAGTGTCTCTATATTCACATTCAGCTCCTTTAAGATTCCAACCAGCCATATAATTTCTGAAACTGCTGCAGCCATACTTCTGTATTCAGCTTTAGCTGAGCTTCTGCTCACTGTATGTTGTTTCTTTGACTTCCAAGAAATAAGAGAATTTCCCAGCTTTATTGTATACCCCGTCACTGATCTTCTTGTGTTGGGACATGCTGCCCAATCTGAATCACAAAATCCTTCTAATTGTGTACTAGGTTCACTGCTTAGCAGTATTCCTTGCCCTGGACAGCTCTTGATGTATCTCACTAGTCTCATCCCTGCTTCCCAATGAGACATCTTTGGCCTTTGCATGAACTGTGACAGTACTTGTACAACAAAGCATATATCAGGTCTTGTTGTGGTTAAGTACAACAACCTCCCAACAAGCCTTTGGTAGGCTGTAACATCTTTGAACAAAGGATCACTAGTGTTTCCTGTGAATTCATCATAATCCACTGAGGTGAACTTCTTATTAGGCTCCAATGGTGTAGCTGCTGGCTTAGAACCACTTAGTCCACAATCAGAAATCAGCTCTAGTGCATACTTTCTTTGGTTCAGTAGTATTCCTGTCCTTGATCTCAGTATCTCAATCCCTAGAAAATATTTAAGGTCACCAAGAGCCTTCATGCTAAAGTTGTTGTGCAATGCATCCTTTATGTCTTGAATCATTTTATTGACTGCTACCTGTAATGAGTAGGTCATCCACATAGACTAAGACCACAACAACAATCAGTTCCAATCTTCTTAGTGAATAGTGAATGATCATAGGGACTTTGTGTATATCCAGCCTCAACCAAAGCATCAGTCGGCCAAGATTTGACTTCAATACAGTGATTACCTCACTTTTCATTTGCAACAGATAGACCCAAGTGTATCTAGTGTGGTCATCAACAATAGTAAGAAAAAAATGCTTCTTATCATGAGTAGGGGTTCTATAGGGACCCCAGACATCAAGATGAATCAACTCCAATGGTTTAGCACTGCTAGATACACTATGAGGAAAAACTAGTCTACTCTGTTTAGCTAGAGGACAAATAGGACAATCTGCAGTTGCAGCAATATTTGAGGAATTCTTGTGAACTAAACCAAGCTTGTGCATAGCATGTAAAGAAGGATGACCTAGTCTTTGATGCCACAACTCAGTATCTCTTGACTGGTCTGCTGACAATGATGGTCTTAGTGCACCATTAATGAAACATGTATCCTTGAAAATTTGCTTGACAATGTAAAGACCTCCCACTTCTTTACCAATCCCCCTCACCCTGCCATTGTAAAGATCCTGAAAAATGCAAAAATCAGGAAAGAATGTGACAGAGCAGGAAAGGCTCTTGGTTAATTTGGAGACTGAAATCAAGTTATACTTGAAATCTGGTACATGTAATACATTATCCACTCTCAAATCTGCTAAAAAATCTGCAGAACCTATGTGAGTTATATCAGCAATCCCTCCATTTGGCATATGAACCTACTCATTACTAGATCGGGAAAGTTCAACTACATTTTGCAACATATGGATTGAAGATGCTATATGATGAGTAGCTCCGAAATCTATGATCTAAGTTGGAGATCCAAATTCAGTTAGCAAATAAGTAACAGTACCTGCTAAGTTGATGTGATGATCAGAAGAATGATCATTTCTCTCATTCAAGAGCTATTGCATCTGTCTGTACTGCTCATCAGAGAACTTAGGTCCAGTCCTCCCATATGATTGCTGGAGATACTTGTATTGGTCATCTACAGATGCATCCTTACTAGACCCTGTATATTCATCAACCTCAGATCTTCGATGGTCATTCATAATATTGTTAGTTGAGAAATTACGTTGCTTATCAAAACGCGGATTAAATGGCTTCTTATCAAATTGTTGGGTGTAAGGTTTTTTATCAGCATTTGGAGGATATTGCTTCTTCATAACGTCATCAGTGGAGCTCCTCTTTGAGTCATCAGGCTGACCAGGACGCCCTATCAACCAATAACAATCGCCTTGAACATGACCACCTTTACCACAATAATCACATCTGATAAATGGTTTTTTTCCTTTATAGGCAGGATTTCTACTGAACTGCATAGCCAGTGGTTCTCCTTTACCTGGTAAAGCTGGGAATGGACTAGATCTCTGACTCTCATCTTCACTAAGCATGGCATAAGCTTGGTTTAAGGAAGGCTCTATGGTTTTCAACAACAATTGACGACGTACCTGTTCATACGATTCATTCAAACCGCTAAGAAATTAGAGTAACCTTTGCCTCTGCAAATATTCCATGTATTCCCTCGATTTTAC